TCAACCCATAACTTTAACTTAAGAGAGGATGACGCAACGCTCTGTTACAATAAAGCATTTTAATTCAAACCACATTGTTGCAATCCGTACTTTTTACTAACGAGAACATATCGAATTTTTCTAAAATGTATTGCGGAGTGAGGAATAGTGTTAAAGCCTAGCAAAAATTTTATTACTTTTATATGAGCAGTTCTTAAAAGTAATACAAAATCGCATATACATAAATTCTTTATTTTATTAGGCAAAAGAATATTGTACAAATCCTAACCGATTACACAGTAGTACATTTTTTGTGACATTTTTCAAAAGAGAAGAAAAAATAAATATATTTTTTCGTCTTTTACTCTCATTTGTTAGTAATAATGGAAAAACAAAAATGGCAAACAAAATAATAACAAATTCAAAACTTAAAAATTACAATGTGAGAAAAGAAAGTTTATAGAAATGAACATGAGAAAAATTTGACACGTCTGTTATTTTATGCTTGTCTCTTTTACATTATTTTATAGCATTTTATTTAAAAAAAGAAAAAATTTAAGTTAAAGAGCCTTCAAACAAAAAAAGAAAAGTTCAAATTATTTAACAGTAAAAATTTTGTTAAAAGAAAAACTCGGATAAGATTTCAGTGTTTTTACGCTCACCTTAATTTTTTGCTTTTTGTTTTATATGTTATTGTTTTTTTGTTTTGGCATTATGAGTAAAATAAAAATAAAAATGTAAAGTCAAATATTCAAATATAAATTGTGAATTAATGTACATACATACATATTAAAATAAACAAATCCTTTTATATGTATTTCAAAATTTTGTATAACATGGAAAATAAGCTTATAAAATTTTTGCTAAAGGCTAGAAAAGCAAAATGCTAAAAAAAAAAATTAATTTTGAAATTTGAATTAAAAATTTGCAAAATTTTTTAGAGTGTAGGTACAAGCTACAATTATCTATTGTCTTTTTTTTATATGTAGATATACAAATGTATTATGAATGTTGATAAACGTGCATTCATATTAAGAAAAAATTATGCAAACAAAAGTTAAAAGGATTTAAAATAAATTTTATTGATTTGAATTATGAAAATTAAGAAAAAAAATAATGTCAAAAATTAAAAGAAATCAAAATACTGTATGATAGTGTCATGTATGTAAGATATCATACGTAATTTCGCACCGAAAATTTTCACTAATAATTGATGAAGGGTCGCAATCAAATTGAAATATATTGAGATATAGATTGTAATATAATAGATAAATTCTAACTATTCAATTTACTAAAAATGGTATCATATATCAGAAAAGGAAACTATAACAATATGTCAGCCAATACTCAATGTATTTGACCCATTCTTTTCTATAGTTTAAAATTGTTATTGAAATTTGAGTGTTCCTAAAAATTTACGCAATACAAATGAATGTGTATGTACGGTTTATGTATTTAGATACAGTACAAATGTTAGATTACAATTGTTATAAATTCAATAAGTACAACTTTGTTTTCAATTTTATTGCTAAAGTAAAGCACACTTAAAAAATATTTAAAACCGAAATATTTTATATAAATTATTATCTTCTGCATACGTTTATATTAACAGCATTCTCTTTTATACGATACATAACGTATATACATTCTCTTTCAACTGATATTGTCTATTCAAATAAGTTTAAAGATTATACTACAATGATATCATGGAACTTCGCAGATCAATTTTTCTTCTTTCTTTCTGATAAACAAAGAATATCAATTCGAATGACCTAAATTTATTGAAAAATCTTATTTTTATTTTTATATTTTCTTAATCAGGTTTACTTTACTAATATATTAAATTTTGAAAGTATTTATACGTATACAAAGTATTGTACTTACGAAAAAAGAATAATAAATGGACGCAAAGCGATCTTGACTGTGAAAATTGATATAAGAGAAGTTGAACTGTTTGTAAGATTTTCCATTTTAATTAGTTATCTTATTATATTCAATAGTGTCTGAAATATTTAATCAAATAATTGAAATATAAAATTAAATCAAATACGAGATTAAATACGATCTACGGTTGAATTTCATTTCAGGCAACAAATGATGATCAAAAATTTTATTTAAATTGCTTTCATGAAATATTAAAAATAAAATTAAAAATATAAACATTTCTTTTGAAGAAAAAGTTCGTAATGAATTTTCACAAAGTTGATGATTACAGCCTAATTGTGGGTCTCTCTATTTCATCTCACTTTTTATTCACTTTCAAATCAGAATTTTCCCTTTTTCTAATGATATTGCATTAGAATGTGAATAAATTTTTTGAATGATATTTTCAAAAATAATGTGAATAAATTTTGTGAACACTTTAGAAAAAAAAGTAAGACACGCAATAAAGAATAATTCTTCTCACTCGAAAATTACATTATTATAAATATATGATAGTTACTCACTTTCTTATTACTTGGCAAAAAAAAAGCGAGATACACGATCAGGCTCTTAATTAACTTTTATTTTAAAAAATCTTAAGAAATTATCCTTTAAAAATAAGTGTTATACACAATAAATATCCGAAAATGCTAGCATAATAATAGTCATTTAAAGAAAAATAAAAGAGAATCGATCATGCTTAATAGAGTAAAATAACAAGATATGAAGATGAAATTCACCCCTAAAATTAATTTTGTTAAATTTTCGAAAAAAAATTCTCTCTCTCTATATTTTACATACATCACGTTTACGAGTGTTTGATTAGTATGAATTAAATTACTAATTTAATATTTTCCCAAAAGTCACTAAAATAAATCAAATTAAAAAAATTTTAAAATATCGTATTTTTTCTGTCCGGGCTCACATATACATATATTGTAATTTTAAGGAAACTCATTTATAAAGCAACAATTAATTGAATTTTTGAATTAAGTTATTTAATTTAAACTAACTTGCATCTTGAACAATACTATGCGATTATATATCAAAGTAGTGATTGCCGTCTTGAAAAGGTAATTCCTAATAATTATTTAAATTTTTAATTTAATAATTTAATAATATTCGTGCTAGCTTTGTTCAACAAAATAAATAATTAGCGCTAATTTTTTAAATTATCTATTAAGTTTTAATACATAAAAATTTCATCTTATTAATAATAAAATATTAAAAATTATGCACAGAAGAACTATAATGGAACAAAAAATTTTTCATTAAATTGGGTCTCATATTGTCAAATAATAATTATTCTATACTCTCTAATAAAGTACTTTATACTTTAATCAACAGCAATAATTTAACTTATAAACGATTAAATGAATAATTTAAAAAATTAAAGAAAATACCAAACAACTCTTATAAATAAACTTTAATGTTTATCTTACCTTAAATTACCTTAAATTATCATAAAATTTCGTTTAAAAAATTTTTGATAAAAAAAAAGTAAAAAAAAGAACTCAATTCAATTTTAACCCAATTTCACATGATAAAACCCGTACCCATGTTAAAGCGAAAAAAAAAATTTGCAATATCTGCAAAAACTACAAAAAAAATTTTTTATTTTATTCCATTTATTATTAAACTTTTTCTCTTTATTGTTTTTTTTTTTTTTGATAAAATGATCTTTCACATACCACCATCATCATTGATGTTGAATATTTTTGTAATTTAAAGTATAATAAAAAAAAAATTTCCCTTCACTTTACTGCTGTTTTCATTTTTTTTTTTAACATTTTCACAGTTCAGGAAAATTTTTTAAAATAAAAAAAAAAAAAAACTTATTTCTTTCACTATTTATTCGCAAATACATTTTAATGCTGGTATACTCTGTCTTAAAATTGTATTACTGCCATAAAATATGTGTTTGTTTTCATCCTATTGTATATCAAAGTATAGTGTAAAAGAAAAATTGCCCTTCCCGGATGTTACTAATATATTTCTGCTATAATTAACGGAACATAATCATCTGCCATTTAAAAATAAAATGTTCAATACAAAAAATATATAAAATTTTTAGTAATAACTTAAAAATTATAAATTTATAATAAAAATTTTAAAAATCATGCGTTTTATTGATCGGACTTAAAAGATTGACGATGTATTCGAAATGATCGAATTTCCTATTGCATACCTTGATTGCTAACATATTGAATATAACTATAAGTCAATAGTACTTATAATATAACCAAAAATAATGCTATTTTAATAACTGATGAAATTTTAATATTTTAGTTCTCAAAAAGAATTTAAAGCACCATATTCAATTAAAAATAGAAAAAAAAAAATAAAAACCTTGTACAAAATTAAAATTTGAAAAAAAATCTTTAACAAAACAGCAAAATTATTAAATCAAAAAAGAGATAGCTATACATTAAAATTATAATTATTGCAAATAAAATTTATAGAAATTTCTTATGTTCAAATAGCCGGAAAGATGAATAAATTATATAGAGACTGCACGATTTTAAATCGTCATAGTCATAGAAAAATCATTCGTTTTAATGAATTACGCCCTTTATATGACTTTGATAAAAAAATAATACAATATTGATAATTTACTATTTTTTTTCATTCTAAAATTATACTTAGCAATTAGTAATCACACTATAGTTTATTCCAGTCAGAATAAGAAATTAGTCGATTCGAGTATAAATTTACTAACAATTACACTTAAAAAACTAAATAGTGTTTACTTAAAAATTTTATTTAAAAATGAAAAATTTAAAACTTTATTTTTAAATTAAAGAACTTTAAAAAAAATTACAATATTTTTTTAAATTATTTATTTTATTATCATTAAAAATTTCAAAAGTTGAATTTAATTATTTTGCAGTCAAATATAAAAAGTTTTCCATTTATTAAAATTCAATACCAAAATTTTTATGTAAAACCACAAACATTTAATTCAATATTTTAAAACAAGATATTTTTAATATAAAAGTAAGAAATTTTCTTCTAAAAAAGGGCGTACATTTAAAAAAATCACGGTTGATTGTGGAATAAATCGTAAAGATCGCATTAGAAAATTACAAGTGTACAGATATAATTAATTAATCTTAATTAAGAAAAACATTGCCTTAGTGTTTAGTGTTTTATCTAAAGTGTAAGTTCTGAAGAAAAAATTAATGAATACTATTAGTTTTTCTTATTTTTAAGAATATTTTTAAAATCTCATAATATACATAACTAGTACATAAGAATATACATATAAGTTTATTCATAAAAATTTCCAAAAGTTTAACTTAAATTATATTAAAAAATGTTTATATACATGTTGATTGAATTTAAGAGAAAAAAACTCATAAAGAGTAAATACGAGTGAAATAACGAAAATATCAAAATTTAAGAGAGATTTCATTTTGAGTGATTTATATAAAATATGTTGAGTGAGAAATATAATTTTACATGGGTTATTGTATGTTTTCGTATTTCTGATGCATTAAATATTACAGTACTAAATTAATTTATATTATGTTTTATTTTTGAGGGTTTAATTATTACAAAAATATTGTATTTAATAAATTTTCAGAGTCATACATAATTAAACTAATAATTACTCAATTATTACTCAAAAGGTAAAAAATTATTATTACAATGGTGCTTCTGAAATTATTATACAGAAATTAAAAAGCGAATTTCATTTAAGTGATAAACAATTTAAAAATTAATTCATTATCATAAATTCTCAAACTTATGATATAAAGTTAAAATTCTCAAATATATACCAAACAAATATAGTTATGAAAATACTTAATTGTTATATAGACTGACTGACAGTGAAAATGGTCCACATCAAAACAAATATTTAAAAAAATTAATAATATTACATCTGAAATCAAAAAATCTAGATTGCATGTAGATTGTATGTACAGTGTTGTAATACAGTAAAGTAACCTGAATGTTATTAATAGATAAAAGAGTAATTTATGTGATTATAATTATAATAATACAATGTTACAAATGTAAATTAATTATTATTTTAAGTTTATAACAGTTTATTCTAATGCCTATATTTCATATTAAATTTTCACATAACATGTATAGAAATTTCATCTTCTTAATATTAATTGCATCATACCTTCGCAAAGTCTATTACATACGGTTATACCTAATATTTTCCATTCAATTTTATTTTTATATTTAAAAAATTTTACTAACAAAAAATTAGTTACTTACGAGTACATGCGCTATATACAAAATTAATTATAATTAGAATCTTGTTAAATATTAAAATATTAAAATATGATACCACAGAAAATAGAAAAAGAACATATTGTTTAAGCCTCAATCATGATAAATATTTAACACAAATTAATCTATATGCTAATAATTTTTAAAAAACAAATTTTCTTATTTAAAATTCATGCTAAGATTGTATTAAGCTGTTAAGTATAAGATATTCATATTATACAAGTATATAATAATAATAATTATGAGTCATATAGTTTTCAGAACATATCCACAGTTCCAATCGTAGATATTATGCTAAATTTTTTTTAAATAAAATTGAAAATGTCAACTATATAGATATAAAAAATTATAATTTTTAATTTTTAATTAAAACAAAATTTTTAAAGAGCATGTTGGTCGTAATTTATACAAAAGTTTTGTGAAGCTCCCAGAATTTTTTTATTAAATACGTTATTCATAATAACAAAATCATATCATATGAATATTAAATATCATATAGTATGTTACATTAATATTAATACCTTAAAATATTCTTTGTAATAAAAACCACAGTAAGTAAAATCATACATAATAAATAATAATTATAAAAAAGTGGTTCTAAATTTTTAATAAATTTTTGATTAAATATTACTCGTACATGTTACATACTAAAACATAAATGTAAAGTTAGCTGAAAGTAATTAAATTATTCGCATAAGTTTATTTAAAATAAAAAAAAAATATAATAAGAAATTTAAGAAAAAAATTGTGGTAAATTATTATTAATGTACAGCAAACAATTTGAAGTCAATGAACGAAGTTCTTCTTTTTTTTTGAAAAATTCATTTAATTGTCAATTTTGGCATACTATAAATATAAGGTAATAAAAAGTGCTTATATGTCCGATTAGATTTCATATTTGCAACAATCACAAATGTTGCAATGAAAACAAACCTGTTACGAGTATATTTTCTTAATTCACTATCAAAAAATTCTCAAATTTATGAGATAGCTACAAAGTAAAAATTCTCAAATTTAATACTATACAAATATATAATTATTATTATATACTTAAATATTTCATATAGTTAATTAAAAAACAGAATTTAGAACAATATTTTCTATATTTAAACAGAAATAACATTCAAGTTAAAAAAGAAAAACTGTATATTAATTATTAATATTTATTTTACTATTATTATGCATATTACCAAATTCCAAGTAAGAAAACAAAGAAAAAAACGTGACTTAGAACTGGCATTTTTAATTTATTTTCTTATAATCTCATATCGTATGAAATATAAAATATATAAAAAAAAATAAAACTTGAGTGTTATACACACATGTTTATAAGATATCAAGAGTTCCAGCTAACTAATAATTTTTTTTTTGTTAACTGTTAACTGTTTTAATTATTTCATCACGAATATTTTAAAAACCGTTAAATATTACCACAATATACTCGTTAGTATATACCAATTTTTGTTCTCAATAAAAATTTTAATTATATATTTATTAAATTATGAGTTTAAAGTTAAAAACTTGTATAAAATAAAATCTTTTCGATTGAGAAACACAAAATAAGAAGTAAAAACTCCAAACAATTAAAATTGAAAAAAACACAATTTTTTATATTTTAATTTAATTCTTAAAGATTCGTAGTCGAATTTATTGCATTCTGGTAATACATCCCAAGCAGAATAATGTCTATAACATTTCCATTAAATTTGTAAATACTGAAAAAATAAAAAGCATTTGAAAACTTATATTTAATTGTATTTTGAATAACCTTTTATATTCAAATTAATTATTTCATTTAAAATTTTATTAAACTTTAAAACTTAATTTTCATTATTTTTATTTTTTTTTCTTATAGTCGGATACCATAAAGTTTTCAACAGACTCGGATATGCAAGATTGGTTTGAACGTGATGTCAAATTACCTGGTGTTATATTACATGATAAATTAATGTCAGATGCATTACTCGGAACATTACCAATAAAAACAGAACATTCATACAGTTTAAATTCAGATGGCGATTCAATGCCAGAATCACCAGGAAGTTTAAAAAATAAAATGGATGGTAAGTTTTTTCTTATTTATTATTTTTTTTTTATTGATTTTATATAAAATAAAAAAAATATATATATATTTTTAATATCTAAAGTAATTTATCTTTATTATTGAATAATAGAAAATTAAATGTATATGTATGAACATATATTTATATTTCTATCCATCACATACTGTAAAGAAATTCGCAAATATGAAAAACGCAATAAATTTGAGATATTTTTATACATAAATATATTATAAACGAGAAGTTTTACTAATTTCTTGTTTACTCCGTTTTTCATTATTACATTACTCCATTCTCAAGGGGAAGGTGGAAGAGGATGTCTACTAAAGTCTAAAAGCATAAACATATTTGTGGAGATCTAACATCAACTTGACTTATTTAATAATAAAATTTTAACTGTTGAATAAAACGAATTGACGTTTCGATAGCAATACTATTTTAACTGTAAAATATAATAAATTTGTATATTATTTGGAAATTACTTTGGCTTAAAGTGATAAAATGTAAAATAATTTAAAATTTTATTCTTGCCAAATTTTCAATTCATTATAAATTCCTAAATTAACTTAACTGAGCAAATTAATTTGAAAATTAAAAAAAAAATATTTCCCTTCTTTACATACAAAATGCATGTACACAAATTAGTTTTGCTTGCAATACTTATTACTTAACTTACATGCTGTCACAAAATATAAAGTCCTGCTTTTTCAAAACCACTTGTTTTTGACATCATTAGAGAAGTACTCATTTTTCTAACAAAATAACAATACAAATACAAGAACACTGGAAAAGAGCTTAATAACTAAATAAAATAATTTTGATTGCCAATGAAGTAATTTTGAGGCTACGATTAGATCTGTATTTAGGGGCTTGCATAAAATTTAAGTAACTTACAATGCTGTTTCCTATTTTTTTAAATTTTATATTAAAAAATATTAAAAAAAATTCAAACCATCACCACACAGCTATTTTTTAATAAATTAAGAAGTTTTAAAAACAATCATTAATTACTTTAATATATTTATGAATGTGTATGTATGTACTTAAAAAGTAAATAATATTAAAATAAACTTAATGTTTATCAAAAAAAAAAAAAACTAAATAATGTACAACAATATAGTTATGAGTACATAACACGGACAAAAAATTTTTTAAAGTTTTTTCTTTAAATAAAAAACATTTGTATCAATATTTTTCCTCAAAAAAAGGCAACCAATGTATTATTCTGTACAATAATGTAAACATGAACGTATGTACTCATATTTACATACACACAAACTCCTACATTATCGAACTTCATAAAATAATTTTCTGTCACAAAATTTCAATTTTATTACTACATTTTAGACAAAAAAAAATAATAACAACCAGAAAAATTTTAACTTTTTTAAAAGATAAATAAAAGTTGATATTAGAAAAGCATCTGTAATTTTAAAATAAAAAAAAAATTTTCCATATTATACCCATGACCGCAACATTTAAATACATTGTTCTTCCTGTTATACTTCAAAATTTTTGTATATACGTGAATGTATGTAGATACTCCACATGCATAATAACAATAGTTTTGATAGACATACAATATACGACGAGCATCATACGAGAATAAGACAACTGCAATCATACGTACATATTTATGTACACATTTTGGTTTGAGAAACTATAAAAATTGAAAAATATATTTTTAGAACGAATAATTTTTATTTTGAAATAAAATTTTAATACTTTTTACATTATATTATTATTTACCTTTATTTATCAATAACTTATAGAAACAATAAATTTATTGTCAACAGATCTTATACATACATATATGTATGTATATCATACAAACATATGTACATACTTCTTGTATGTACATAGTTCATGTACTTTTTAAATAAAATTTTATTAAATTTTTCTTAGTGGAAATTTTTTGAATCGGAATTTATTAAAATAGCTAGTTGTACTCGTATCATCAAATGATAATCTGATCTTAAAACCATTTAGGAAAATTTCCGAATTTATTTCATTAACAATAATTTAAAGTAATTTGATTATATATAAAATAAATAATTTCTTATTGATCAATTATATTTTTGTGTATAAAACGTCTTATAAAACAACCTGTGTCGAAAATTAAATTTTTTTTTAATGAAACTTTACATAGAGGAAGATAATTGAAATTTCTTAACGAATTGAAATTTTGAAAAAAAAAAACTTAGAAGGATGTGTCCACTTAATTGTATCTACAAAATTAACATTTTAATCATGATGATAAATTGGATTGATAGATATTAGATTATTTGCCTAACATCTCATGTATTATTTTAAAAACGATGAAATTTCAAATTTTCGTTGGAATAAATTCCGCAATGCCAGTTTTATACTACTTTACATATGTAATGTTAAACACAAACTGAATTATAAAAGCACATCGTTCTCACCAAGAAAACCTGATCTAACTCACCAAGAAAAGTATGAATAATTGTAAAACACGATAAATTTGTAAAATTTTCACTTTCAAGAACCTATCTGTTCCGTAAAACCTTCATAAGCCGTAAAAAAATTAGGTCTCTTGTGATTCCGACTCTGATAGGTTTATATTTTAAATTATGTATACTTATTATTCTACCAAAATATATTTTCTGAACTTTAAATCTTTTCAATTCTAAAAGAGTTTTCTACACGAATATCATATAATGTACTAAAGGATCGGACCTATTGATTAATAAGACAAAAATAAAAATTATTAAAAAAAACAATGTTTTCTTCATACACCGTCCCCAATTGAGCTTGAAGTCTAAAAAAACTTTGAATGTTTTATATTTTAAATAAAAAAGATATACTTAGGTTCCTTTCATACCTGTATAAACATAAATATATAGTACAGAAATTGATTTGAATAAAAAGTAAAAAAAAAATTGCTATTTTTATATAATTTGCATAATTAAAATTTTTAACTAAATTTTTCTGGTTAGCACTGCTTTCTATATAACTTCTATTTTTAATCTATTTAAAAAATTATCTATTATATTTTTTTTTTTTAATAAAAGGCTATTAATATTGAAAGTATGTATATATATATAGTTGATATAATTACGCAATCTTGTAAATGCAATGTATTTTTAAAACATATTTTTTTTTGTTATCCATTTTAGTTTTCCAATTAAATATTTGTATTAATTAAAAAAAAAAAGTAACAAATATAAAAACTGAAAATTTGTTTATTCAGGTGAAATATTTTTTAATTCCGTCATTCATTTTTTATCACAAAACTTATATTAATAACATGTATCTGAATATTTGCGCCCCTTATGAAAATATATTTATAATATTTTAAATTCAAGCTTACATGTGCTCCACTAAATGAAAATGTTACAGGAAATGAAATTTTTGTTCAATTCCTAATTTTGTAATTATAAGAAATAAATACATAATATGTAAGCACGTACATATGTATACGTATAAAAATTTCCTTCAAATTTCTCATTGGAAAATAATTACAATTATACCAAATGCAATATGTAGCGTAACTATAAACTTTGTAAACTCCCAAACAAAATTGTTGAACCTAAAATTTGAATATTTGTTGTCAAATTTAGACTTCTGTTATAGAAATTTTTGGATTATATTGTTATTAAATCCTCTTGCCTTGACTATTACTGGGATAGTTTACATCTCTTTATTTACATTATTTTTTTTTATATTGTAGATCTAGTTAAAAATTTCTCGCCAAACTTTAAGACCACCACTAATATTTTTTAATTTTAATTATGAAATGTATTTTTTTTTTCTATTTTTTAAATAAACAAAATTTATTACAAAAAAATTTTTATATTTTTTTATAGATATGGAAGATGAATGCTACCCCGCAATTTCAATGAACACAGCAACAAGTAATTCAAGGCGTTTAATTGATCCAGCACATTTAACAACAACACATATAAATCCAGCCGAAATATCGCTAAATAATTGTGCAGTTTTAACAAATAACCACAATAATAGTAATAATAGTAACAATAATAACAACAGTAACACTATAAACAGTAACAACAGTAATAACAACAGTAACAACAACAGTTCTAGTACCTGCCATTTAACAATTTTAAACAGTTGCAGCACAAATACCATTAGCATAAATCCAAATAGTTTACAAAATACATTGAATCCATTGGCAATCAATATACGTCCAAAACATGTTACCGATCAATTATATAGCGGTAATAGTAGCAGTACATCAAGTTTATCAGATATTGATATTGATGATTCATGTATTAAAGATGAACCAATGTCACCAGCAGATTCAAGTTGTCCGCCAAGTCCTTTAAGTGTTAATGCAACAACATATTTAACAAATATTACATCTCCTTTTACAAATACAACAAATATAATTCAATTAGAACACAAGGTAAATTCATGACATCAATCATGATTTATTAAAATTAATTAATATTTTACAGAATCGTTCAATTCAATTAACTCCCGCCTCACAGAGTCTCTTAAAAGCCCAACAAATAACACTTGGTAATGGTATATCGGCAACTTTATCAGGAACAAATACAAACAGTTTAACATCATCACCACAACGATTAGTTATACCAAAAGTAAATATAAAAATAGAATCCCCAACAACAACAACAGTAACTACACAACAACAATTACAGCAACAACAACAACAACAGCATTTATTCGGTTTACCACCAACACCGCCATCATCATTACCTAGCGATGAATCAGAGGGTAATCAAAGTCCAGAGCATCATTTATTGTCACCGATGTCACCACCAATGCAACAGCAATTAATTAGTAGCAGCAGTTCGTCAAGTAGCACAAATTCCTCACCAGCTGCATCACCATCTACAAGTACAACGAGGAGGAATCATAATAACAGCGGTCAAACAACATCTGGGGTAGCAACGTCATCGCATCACAATAATAACAGTAATAATGCATCAAACAGTGGTCGAGGTTATACTGGTACATCAACAAGGCAACCTATACATACACCTTTAATCAGTTCACAACCGGTAATATTTATTGTTTATTTTGTATAATAACCTAAAAAATAAAATAATATTATTAAATTTAATCTTTTTTTTGTTATTATACAAATACAGAAAGGCTCAACTGGTACATTAGTACTTACAGAAGAAGAAAAACGCACATTATTAGCTGAAGGTTATCCAATTCCAACTAGATTACCATTAACCAAAGCTGAAGAAAAATCCTTAAAGAAAATCAGAAGGAAAATTAAAAATAAAGTAAATAAAAATTTTTTAAATATAATTTTTAAATAAACTTAGTTATTAATTTATTCAAAATTTTAAATATAGATTTCAGCACAAGAAAGCCGGCGGAAAAAGAAAGAATATATGGATCAATTGGAAAGAAAAGTTGAAATTTTAGTATCAGAAAATACTGATTATAAAAAACGTGTTGAATCACTAGAAGAATCAAATGCAAATCTTTTAACTCAATTAGCCAAATTGCAATCACTTCTTAACAGACAAAAGAAATCTAATTAAGAAATATAATTGTTTAAAAAATACACAATAAACCGAGAATTTTAAATGTAAAAGCCACAATAAAATTAATTAATTTTTCCTTTATTTTTCTTTTTAAATGATAATATTGTAAAAATAAACGAATTCTGCAACGAATATTAAATTTTTTATTAAACAATAATATTCTTACACTTACAAAAACAAAAAATTAAAAAATAAAAATCAATTTGGCTTAATTTGCAACTTTAATTAAAGGAAAAGAAAAGAAAAAAAAAGATGGACCTAAAATCCAAAAATCAACAATTTGTACAAAGTATATTGTTCCAGATTTTTTTAAATATAATTAGGTATTATATATAAGTGTAAAAATATAAAAGAATTTTCTTTTTTGAAATATAATTATTTACATACAATATTAAATATACATTTAAAATTTATACATTATAAATTATAAATATAAGTATAAGAAGTTTAACAATAAAAATATTTGTTTCGTTAACATTTTTCCTAGTTTATAAGTGTTAAATTTAGAATAAAATTTAATTGATTAAAAAAGAAGAAAAAAAAATATGAAACCGATTTAAAATTATTTTACAAATTATTAATATTATATTTTGAATTTACAAAATATATAAAAATAACTATTATTAATTTTATTGCAGCCATTTTTTTTTAATAAATCATATGCATAAATATATGCATATATATATACATATATATATATTAATTTAATGTAGAGAAATAAATATTTTTAAAATTAATTTCAAATATTCATTTTAATAAAATTTTTGCTTATAGAAAATAGAAGTTAGATAATAAGAGTAAAAATAATTTTTAATAAAAAAGAAATAAGGATAATTAAATAAATGATAAGTAAAAGAGGCATAAAATGCAAAATTTTCAAAGAAAAACTAAAATAAAGTTTTTATTTTTTATTATAAATATATAAGAATTTACTTAAAATTTACTAGTAAATTATTCTTTACAATTTATTTTATAATATTTTATCTTAAATATTCACTTACCTTATATACAGAAAAATTACATGGTCGTTATTTTGCCTAAACTTTTATTAAAATTTAATCTGATATTTGATGAATATATATGATACCAATACATAGTAATTTTTACAAAATATGAAGGTACTCAGTGTATATATAAGTTGAGCGTTATCCAAAACTGTAATTTATCAAAATTTGCTTCAAAGAATTCTAAAAAGATCAAATTTTAAATAAGAAAAACTACCCAAAAAAAATAATTCGAGACATAAATATATTTTTTTTTGGAAACCAAGCTATGATCTCAAAAATCTTGATTTATTTTAAAAAATATTAACATAAAATATAACATTAAAAAAACTGTTAATTATCTTTTTTAACCAAGCAAAAAATTAAATATTTTGCATAAAAATATTTAAAAATATAAAAATTTTCCAAATTTTTGATTCAAGCAGTTTCGATAATAAATTATATAGCACATATACGTTCATATTCCGAATAAAACTAATTATTTTGAATTGAACATTGTCACAAAAACAATTTTTAAAATTTAAATTTAACACTAACTTATTAAAATCTTTTAATAAAAAGCAGATGTACAATAAATATCAGAAGATTTTTAATATTCAGTAAAGATTTCTTAATTATCTCAAAATAAAATACGACGTCGTTTTTACCTTTAAATTTTATAAGGTTCATACAAAACTGTGGCAAAATTTTATCCATAGGTAAAGTGAAAAGAAAGTTTAACATAAATTTGATAGTTTCGAAAAAAAATATAAGATAAAATAAAATTGAAATTCAATTTCAAAAAAAAAAAATTTAATTATATTTTTATGCTAGTGATAATTGTATAAAAATTTACTAGTTTTTTTTTTTGTTTTTCTACTTTTAACAATATAAATATATAAGTTTACTTTATTTTTATTTCCTTACTTTTTATTCTAAATTTTCATTGAAAGAAATATTTTTTTATTATATAAAATGAAATACTAAATAACAGAAAAAAGAAAACAAAATAATATGTATATATATATATATATTCAGCAAATTAAACCAAGGTTGAAAATTTTAAAAAATAGAGAATAATTGAAGGAAAAAAAAACAAATATATAATAAAATAAGATCAAAATAATTGTATATGTAAAGAAAATATATTTGAAAATGATAGTTAAGTACATTATATAATATTATATTTATATATACAATGAAATATTTTAAAAACAAACGTTTTTAATAAATATATTGAAAATAAAAAATATTTGAAAAAAAAATTGTATAAACGATAATTCATAAATTAATGTTTCTCAAATTATTGTTGCTACAGCATTTTCTTACAATTAATAAATACAGAATATTTTCTCAATTAACTCAATAGTAATTACTATTAAAAATTTATCGCTTATTGTACAGCAATACCAAGCTTCTAATATAATAACCTGCTTTAAATTACTTTATTTTGTTACTTTTTTAAATAATTTAAAAAATTCAATCCTGTGAATATCGTTAAAATAATCTTTAAAATTAAATTAAAAACGTAACAACAATACATAATATTCTATACATACGAGTACATATATAATATAAAATTTATATAAAAATAAATAATTTTAAAATATAAAAACAAAAAAAGATTTTAAGCTCTATTATATTTGAGCAAATTGAAAATTTTTAAAACAAAAATTTTCAAAAATTATATTGCAACAAATAAAAAACATTTAATTTAAAATAAAAAAAAAAATAAATGGACCAAAAACAAACACAAATTACAAAAACATATTATTAAAAAAATACACATTTATATTATAATAAAAATAGAAAAAAAAACCTTAAATTAGAATTCAATGTTTGTCTAATTTGCTTAATTTATAATAGTAAAATAAAATTTGTTGATATTAACATTTAATTATTGAAAAATTTTCTTAACTATCATTTTGATCAATTATATATTATATAATTTTATAAGTTTGAAATATTAGAAATTTCTTTATTATAGAAAAAATAAATAAAAATTAATTAAAAAAAAAAAAACAAATCATTAAATTTACGATTTTTCCAACACAAAAACGGCTGTAATTTATTGTAATTTTAATTTTTAATATTTACAATACACGCTTTATATATATATACATATATAATACATAATTCTTTAAATTGATAATTTTAAAATAAATATATATATTTATCAACATAATATATATATATATATATATATATATATAAGTATATATATATATATAGATAAAAATTTACTAAATAATAATTTTACATTCAAATAGAGTCATCAAATTGACAATATGTATTAACAAAAGTTAATAAAATGAAATATAATTTATATAGTTAAATTTTTAATTATATGCATACTTGCATAATATATATATGTTCGTACATATATATATACATATATATATGTTAAATGAATATAATTTAAAAGTTTATATTTAAATATTTAGGTATTGAAATATATGCTTATACAATAATAAAACAGAAAAGGTCGAGATTGCAATATTTATCGAAAAATTTTCTTTTTAAAATATTTTTACTAACAAATTTTAAAAAATTTGGCTAAATATATTTAAATTTCCAAAAAAAAAAGAAAATTTTTCTTCCCCATAATTTTAATTTTTTTTTTCTCAATTTTAGTTATTAAATTTTTCTACTTATTTAATTATTATAATTTGTAATTTTATTTAATTTAATTTTCGTGCAATGTTTTATATTTTTTCAACAAAATTTGTTATTATTTGGATATCACAATAAAAATTATATTGATTATTATTTGAAAATTCCACTGCAATATAAATATTAAGTTTAAATAAAACAACGTATAACATAAGTGAAAATGAAATTATGTAAACTGAGTAAAAATGTTTTATAATTGTTACTAGAAAATTGTATAATTTAGTAACAATTTTATTGTTACTAATTATTATAGTAACAATAAAATTGGTACTATAATAATTACGGTAATTTAATTCCGATTAACAATTTCAATAACATAAAAAAATAGAGATTTCAAATTTGAAATGAACTGAATAGCAATATATTATAAATTTGCCGTATACTAAATTCTATTAACATAAAACTTATCGAAAAATCAAAACAAAAATTAATCAAAGATTGAAATATTAATTTTATATGATTAAAATTAAAAGAAACTGGAATTAGAGTAAAAATTACCGTAAATAGAAATAAAAAAATTTATTAGCAGTTAAATAATTTTTTTTCTAAATTTTTGAAACTCCTTGCATGAAGTTTTGTCACTGAAACAACAAGATAGTAACAATATTACTTAATAATCTTAATGATTGGAATGTTAACATTTTTAAATAAAATTTACATAAGCTCTATTGAGATATTGTTTTTTTTTAACTATTTGTTTTGCTATTTGTTTTTTTTTTAATATTAATTTGATTTTTTTTAATTTATTTAAAATTTCATTAAAATATTAATTATTAATTTTCGAAAAACTACCGAAAATTAGAATTAAATTTGTTGTTTTTATTCAGAGTTACGTTTCTTTTGTTTTTATAATTTTTTTTTTTTTAATTTAAATGGTATTTTATAGAATTAAAATAGAGAAAAATAATATTATTTTGTTATTTATATGTTTTTTTTTCTATTGTAATTTATTTTATTTTTGTTTTAGATTACATAAAATTTTCAAAATATTAAAAATTTTAAAGAAAATTGTTCGACCTTATAATATTAGTTAAAAATTCTTAAAATAACTTTTAATTATTGATTGTTTATTCATTATATTTTAATTTTTCAGACATTCCATTTTAATTAAATTGATTTAAATAAATTTAATAAATTTCCTAAAAGAAAAAAGAAAATATTTGATTTTTAACGTGTAATTTTGTATTGAAATTTTCCTTACACAATATATTAAAATATTAAATGAAGATATTGTTAATATGATAAAAAATGTGAAAATTTTTCTAATTTATATAATTATTTTCTGCATAATTTTCATTAAAGTCAAAATATGTAGCATTTTCGTAACATTTATTTTAAATAAGAAAATTTTTTAATTAAAGATAAAAATTTTCAAATAACAATTTTCACTTCCAAATTTTTGTTCTTTTTTTTTAATCTATGTTATAAAGAGAAAAACTGAAGAGAACTTTTCTTCAAATTCATATTTTGATAGAAAAATTAAATTCCCC